ACAGCAGAACGAAACACTGCCCGATCCTGGGCCAACCTCACTACTGTTGCCATGCTTGCGTTCATCAATGATGCCACTTGGCCAATCCATCCCATTGGGGGTCTTCCTCTTTTTCTTATACTTCAGACATATTGTCAGGAGAGATCAGTCCCTGGAGAAGGATATCATGTTTGTTAAATGAAGGGTCATAGAAAAAGAGAAAGACCTCTAATGAGATGGATCAGCACAGTGGCAGCAACAACGAACTCCAGCGTAGCAACAATTGTGAGGTTGCTGCAGGACCAGGCAGTGTTTTGTTCTGTTGTGCATACGGCTGCTGTAAGTTGGAACCAATTCGATGGCCCCTAACAACAAAGCTGGCACCCCAAATTCTGACTTCTAGTCTCCTGATATGTTAGAAAAAAATTCTGTCTGGTAAAGCCATCACTTACGGTATTTTTGTTACAACAACACTAGAGACCTGAGCGAAATATACAAATCTCAGGCTAACAGTGACCATGTTTTCTGCCATAGAGACTGGGGAAGTACAGAAAATTAGGATGCAAAGGGAGAAAAAGAGAGAACAAAATCACAGTTACCCAGAGGCAGCAGAGGCAGAAATGGGGCCTGCTCTGGATGTTTATGAGCTAACTACAGTGCTGTTCCGTATCTTTATAATAAGCTCAACTTTGAATTTGTTTTTTTTCAGCTAAACATTAGTCATTTCCTATGAATCGTATCCAGGGCCCTATAAAATACGATGGTGAGCCAACAAGTATTGCTGTAAGATCATAGACCCCTTTAATAAACAAAAAAATCAAAATGTGAAGCCATCTTTTCTCAACCTATGTTCCATGTAGGTCTCTACACTTCTGAAGATAGTTTCTATCTTTTTAACCCTTCCCCGGAGAATTCTGTTCTCTTCGTCAATTTATACCATGTCAAAATGGCAGCGTTGGCATCCTTAAGGGACTGAAATTGTGATCCTTTTCAATTGTTTTTGAGTTTGTGGAACAAAAGAAGTCTGAAGGAGTAAGCTCAGGCCTGGAGGGTAATGGGGTATGGCTTTCCTAATGAAATTCTCATAGGATAGTCTACACTACCCTCAAAGTATGAGCAGGTGCATTACCGTGCTGGAAAACATTCCTCAGCACAACTTTCCTGGCC